TCCGGGTGTGTCAGCCACATTTTCAAACCTGAATGATCTAGGTCCATTACCAAGAGGTTCTTGTCCTACTTCTATAGGGTAGTGATAATAGGTTATCCTAGGTAGGGCCTTAGCCACCAAACCTCTCCAGTGGCTCTCCCAACCCTCATTAAATAGGAATCTATCAAGCTTTGAGCAGGTTGGGTTTTCTTGGAAGTTGGACCAAGTGTAGGTAGCCTATAGTAAAGGAAGCTCGCGTAACTCACAGGAATTTATGAAGTCATTGAACTTCCTCATACTAGTTGTAATGGCTTGCCTAGGATTATTTGACTCATTTGTGAATCTTATTGCATTAAAATCCCCCCCCCCAAACACCAAGAACCTTCCCACAAACCTTGAATTCCATGAAGCTCCTCCCATAACTCATTCCTCTCTCAGTGATTATTTGGACCATACACATTTGTTAGCACCCAAATAAATCCATCTTCCACCATTCTGAATTTTAGGGATACAGTGAAGTTTCCTATCAGCTCCTATACTGGTTCTACGAAGTCCTCCCTCCACAAAGTTACTATTCCCCCCGAGGCTCCCCACAAAGTCCTCCCTTTAGATCCTGCAACATCACAACATCAGGTCTTTCTCTCCTAAGTAGCTCCTTAATCGATCTCCTTTTTATGGCACTACCCAAACCCCTTACATTCCAGCTTATTATCTTCATTACCTTTCAAGAATTTAGCCCTCCAATATAGTGTTCCTTCATTTAGAACCCTTCTTTCTTTCCCCTCTGCCACTGAACTCGATATCCCCTTCAATGTCCATTATTAGTCTCTCTACTTCAGACTTTTTCTTCTTTTTCCAACCCTTATTTCCCACCGACTTCCTATTCTTCCCTTTATTTCCTAATTCCTGCCCCAATCTATTGGTTCTTGCCTCTGATTCAGGGTTTTTTGGAGCCACCTCTATCATTTCCTCCTATTTATATTCCTCCAGCAGGGCACAAATCTGCTCCCAAATCCATTCTAACTCCTCTTGTTTCCTTTCTAACAACCCAACTCCCTTCTCTAATCGGACTCCATCATTATCAATTGCCACTTCCCTGCTACCAGTTGGTTGGTCTGGTTGGGATTCCAGGACATCTGTTACAGGCAGAGAACCYAAGTTAGTATCTAAAACCAAATGGACAGGCTTACCTGGAATTAGCATAGATGGTTGCATGTGGACCGGCTGCTAGGTATCAATTCTTGGAGTCAGAACTAGGCCCTTCCCCTTTTCCGGACTCAGCCGTGGAAGCGGACTAGGTACAACCAATACTTCCTCACCATCTACAGTCATAGAAACTTCACTTCTCTTTCCCTCTGCGTGAATCCTTAGGTAAGGCTCCAAGTCTGATTCCTGTCTCTCTGGCCTGATGTCCTGACTAGGCTGCACTTATGGAATGGACTCGTTTATTGGCCGGGATCACTCTGCCTTACCTCTTTAAGTGTTCCCAACTCCACCTGTCATTTGTATAGCATACCCAGTTTGGGAAAGATCTGTTCTCCGCTGCTAAGGCTCACTCTTCTTTGCGTTTTGATATTACTAGAATCTTGCGAATCCGTCTCCTCCTCTAGGAATACAGTTCAGTGTTTAATCTACCCTCTTCCAGTATATCTCTTGGTTTTTGGAGGTCGATACTTCCCAAGCAAATGGTTTCTTCCAAATCTGAATCGGAATCAGAAAGTTCTTCATCGTTTGTCAATCTTTCCGAATCAGAGTCGAAAACCTCACTGCTCTTCACACTCATGGGGTTATGGCATTCCTGTTCCTTATGTGGCATCTTCTTCGAGGGTCTCCACTGTAACGAGCTGGAGACCTTCGTTGAACTGTTCGAACGAGAGAAAGGGCTTGAGGAAGACGATGGTATACGGATTTTACTGTCTACCTGAGGAGCCAACCTTGTCATGTGCTCCTTTAAGTTGTCATGCGCCCCCCTCACTCTTCGGTCTTCTAAGCATAGCCCACTTAACTTTTCGGGCCTACTGGGCCCAGAATTACAATTTAGAGATGGGCCTGCTGGTTGGACCCCGTGCATATTCCTGAGGCTACCAATACCTCTGCCCGACCCGATGAATCACCTCCCTCCTCCTATATTGCACTCGGACCATTCCTCTCCACTGGAGTAAATTGCTTAGGTCCACAAGCAACTGCCTGAGCAAAAGAAACTTTGGTTTTCCCACCGTTGCCTTGTGTAATACGTCTAACACTTATAATGGTTTCCTGATCTGAGCCTTTTGGCCTATCTAAAGGCTGTGCTTCCATTCTTGTGAAAACTCCTTGTTTCTTTTTTACAGCCACTTTCAGACTGCCACGTAGCTGCAGCTCCTCCACCACTTCGTCTTCCTCCTACCTTGCTTCTCTCCACAGGGTAGCTTCAATGGAGGACAGTAACTACACTGGGAAGAACAAACCCTCCACAGCTACATTCACCTTCCTCGGTATATCTTCTGGTTTTACACCACCTAGTAGAATGRCTGCACTTCGCAGGTCTCCCCAAAAAAATCCATCAAGGCGAGCTCCACACAACAAAGCAATTGAGTTTGCTGTTTTTTTATTCCAGAGATGGAATGGCAACCCAAGCACTTGAACAATTACATTATCTTCCACTGAGAACACTTTTGAATTTGATGAAAATGACCATTTAAAAACCGAGAAGGTTCCCAGATCATCTTGGATACTTAGGGCTCTAACATTTACCTGGTTTTCAAGAGGGTCCAACACTGCCTTAGCAGGATCAAACGAGGTCACAATAAATGTGCTTCTTAGCTCCATCTTGCTCTTCAACATTTCTGCAACTTTCCACCAGTCTGTCACCACCCCTCCAGCTTCAACCACTAGCATTCTATCCCATTTTCCTTTTGTCCCCTCTGCTACCAATGAAGGGTCCCTCCTACTATTTGCCATGGCAACAAACTTTTTGTTTGTATCCTCTTTTTTACACAAAAACTGGCTTCTGGTTTCTGGTCATTGTCCCCATTCATCAACTTTCATATTCTCTTTATTCTCCATTCTCCTTCTATTTAGAAAATTTGTTAGTGTCCCAGAAATCCTTCTCCACCCTTGATCATTCTTCCCTTGAGGAAGACAAATCATTTGTTTCCTTCCTTTAGAGAAATATTCAGTTAAAGAAATAAATGCACTTTTTGCATTCTTCTTGTTCTCCAGCACATACCTCCTACCCGATCCTGAGTAATTTTCTTTCCAATATTTCTGCTTCCCTTTAGCAGCTGCATCAGAGACAAACTCTTTCACCCACTCAATCATTTCTGAGCCTTCCACAAGGATCGTGGCTCTCCTGTTCTCTTACTTTCAAACCCATTCTTCCTTTGATCCGTATCTCTTCGAAGAGAAATTCTTTGGCCTCTATCCTCAGAGCTGACCTCCATTTTACTTTCTCCACGAAACCTCCCTCCACTTTCTCCATGAAGCCTCCCATGGCAGTTAACTGGCTCAAGAATTGTTCATGTGCCACTATGGATGACCGGCATTTCCACTGACAACGACGTCCTACATGCAAATTTCATCTATGAGGACTGCACACAGTATTGCAGCAAGACATCACACAAGTCCGGATAAGATTTAGGTAACTCATTGTCGGTTCATGCTACATGTCTGTCACAGAAAATGCTTCTTCGGGATATTTGAGCTTCTGAGGTTGAAGAATCATTAGGTTATTTTCTTTGGTAAAGTAAGAATCATTAGGTTGAACAGGAACCACTTAGCATATATTTGTAGTTTAATTACAAATAGGATCTTGAGAAGTTCCAAATAAGAATTTCTGCACTTCTTAGATTTCAAAATTGAACCAGAATTCTTTCACTTAGGTTTTAGTCATGGTCATGATAGAATAAAATTTCTATACAGTGGTGTTATAGAGGAAACATGGGTCAGATGTTTCAGATAAGTAAACTACAGAAGGAAAGAGAAACAATAATATAGGTTCCAAAAAATCAGAATAAAACTGCAAAATGATAAAAAAAAAAAGAACAAATCTTAGAAGGTACTAATAAAGATGAAGAGATAAACAATAAGGAAATTGATAATGGAAATATGAGGGAGAGGATCAGTTACATAAACTAATTAATGTAGAATGGCTATGACCCAATGATGAGATAGGAAGTTAACAATGGGATAAAAGGAGCTTAAGGATGATTTTAGGATTAAAATGAAGGCTTAAATGGGGCTAGAAAGGTTATGGCTTAAATTCTTGAAAATTACATATTTCTTATGGGAAAATGGAAAATAGAAAACCGAAAAGCAATGTATAGAGGTGGAATTTTTTAATGAAACATTGTGAAGACAACTAGAATTTAGATTATGTGGTAATTTAATTTGAAGGCATTTTGAGCAACTTTTCAACAAGAAGATGGAAAGTTTTTCATAAGAAGACTGAAAAAATTCTGAAAACTAGATTTCGAATGAAGCTTTGGGATAAATTTTGGAATGAAGAGAGGTGATGATAATCTGTGGAGGCGTCCTGACACTAAAGCAATCAGAAACCATTTGGCACAGAAGGGAAAAATGAAGGAAACAAGAATATTTCAGGCTTTGAAATAAACTAAAGAATATGTACCTAGATCAGCTTTAGTAATTCGTAAATGTTGAATGAACTCCTTTGATGGAGCACTTATATGCTGCTATAGTGGTAATTGCTGTTTGAAAAATGAGAGAGAAGATAGAGAGAGAACCCAAAATCACTCAAGGACCTAGAATCACTTAAGTTTTAAATCACACACTATAAGCATTAATATGCAAAGAACTAATATATAATTCATCTTATTTATGCAACTTAAAACACATACATGGACATTAACAGATTGTTTATAGTTAACCAAAATAAGTATTGAAAATTGGCTTGTGCATAAGACAAAAAATTAAAAGAGGTGACTAGAGCAAAAAGCTTGGGTAGTCAACAAAAAATGCATGAAATCTTCCTTTTCTATAAAGTAATAGATAAAGTAAGCACGTGAGTTGAAGTTCAAAACCTGGCCACGTGGGTGACATTTCTTCATTGCCCATGTATAATTTGGTTGATAAGCACCCATGGCAATTTCTGTGTCCCTTGAACCATCCAATGATCTTTGGTTAATGTTTGCAGAACCCATAATAACATACTCATCATCAACTATCATCCCTTTGGCGTGGACATAAATCATAAATCTATGGAACTTTTGAGCTAATCCCTGTGAAAAACAAAAAAGGAGTATCAAAACCCAATTCAAGTTTTTATGAATTCAAAAATTGACCATTTTTTGGTTCATAGTTTTTTTATTTTATGTTATTTTTCTTTTGGTTCCCTTTTTATTCATAAGAGTAAAACAAAGCAACTCTAATTTCACTGGGCTGCATTTGGTTGCATGTAAAACAAGGAAACATGGATTATTTTCCAAAGAATGGTAGAATAGGAAAGCAAATCAGTTTCTTACATTTCCTGTTGTTAAGCTTAAATTGGAAAGCAAATGTTAACAGTCATGTCATGCATAGATATCATCTTCATCATCATCCATGCCTTATCCCAACTATATAGGGTCCACTACATGAATCCTGATTCATGAATACATTCTATTTAAAGCCATATCCACTGTTAAATTATTAGTACTTTAATCATCTCTTACTACTTCTATCCATGTTCATTTTGGCCTACCCCTATCTCTTCTAGCCCCTTCCACTTGTAACAAATCACTACTAACTAGAGCTGTTGGTGGTCTTCCATGCACATGACCATCTTAGTTTACTCTCTTTCATTTTATCACCTATTGGAGCTACTCCTAGGTTCCTATGGATGACTTCATTCCTGATTTATCCTTTCTAGTTTTTCCACTCATCCATTTTATCACCTAATCTTTCATTTTATCACCTATTGGAGCTACTCCAAGCATTCACACCTATTGGAGCTACTCTCTTTCATTTTAGCATTTCCACTCCTAGGTTCTATGGAGCTACTCCTAGCCAACAAGTTGTTTCTTGACTTGCCAACACCATGCTACATACAACAGAGCTGGCCTTACAGCTGTTTTATACAATTTTCCTTTTAATTTAAATGGTATTCGCCTATCATACAAAAGTCCAGATGCACTCCTCCAGTTTTCCCAACCTACTCCAATTCTTTAGGTGACATCCTCCACAATCTTTCCGTTGTCATGAATTATTGAACCAAGGTACCAGAAATGGTCACATTGAGTTATCTCTTGGCCCCCAATCCTAAGTGTATCCTGATTTACACTCCTATTAATTTTGCATTTAATCCTTCATTAGTTTCATCAATTAAAACAATGTCACCCACAAACAACATGTACCATGGAACTTCATCTTGAAGATGTTTAGTCAATTTATCTATGACTAGTGCAAATGGATAAGGGCTAGGTGTTGATCCTTAGTGAAAATCCATCATAACTGTTGTTAAGAGTCGACTAAACAGGACAATTTGGTCTTTTATCTTCTTATTAAATTGTGCTTTGTCAGTTGTCTTATTTTAAGTTACTGTTCCCACACTTAAGTAGGGACATATTAGTCATTGTAATATTATTACATCTATATAAAGCTTGGGTTGGCTAGGAGAAAATTGATTCTCTCTAATCCAGATTGTAGTTATCTCATTCTCTCCTATTTTCTTTTGGGTTCAACTATGATATGGAAAAGATATGATATCTGAAAAACTTCTGACCAGTCAACTGGAATCATAAATGTGGTAGTCAATCAGGTGTAATTTATCAAAATTCATGGGTGGGTTTTGATTGGTCAAAACTCTTTCCATACTATATCTTTCTTGCATCATAGATTTTCCCTTTTCTTTTCTCTTTCTCTTATTTCAACCTATGACTAGAACACAAGGGCCGAAGTATTCAAACATGGTACCAGAGCTGTAAAAGAGAAGACACAGCTGCAGTTTTTTTCTCCTTTCTTTTTCCTTCTTTCTTTTCTGGGTTACAAAGTGAGTTAAGGGACTGAAGAGGCTGGGGAAACTCTATTTCAGCACCCTGTGAACTATTGTCATGATGAGTGACAGCCCTAGTGGTCGAGTGGTGGTTTCAACCCTCTTTGAGCAGTCAAGAGGGCTTTTCCTTGGTTGGTTGACAGTACTAATGCTGGCCAAAACTATGGCTGAACTTTGTGGTGGAGAAAGTTGCTGAACGTATTCCAGGTGTGGTTCTTACATGTCTCTCCTTGTTATGTGGGTTGGAAGGTGTTGTTAGGAGGTGGGTGAACTGCTGTAATGCCTGGGTAATATTTTTTTTTTGTCTGTGACAATCAGTACTTCTGAATGCCTAGGTAATATTTTTTTGTGTCTGTGACAATCAGTACTGCTGTAATGCCTAGTAATATTCTTACATGTCTCTCCTTGTTATGTGGGTTGGAAGGTGTTGTTAGGAGGTGGGTGAACTGCTGTAATGCCTAGGTAATATT